CGGGTGCTGCCGGTGCCGCGAGAGGGGCCGTTGGCCTGCGGGCGGAAAGGAGGTAGGGCGGAGGGCGGCCGCTGTGCAGAGGAGACAGGAGCTTCCTCCGGCTGTGCCCCCAGAAGCGGTGGTCCAGGGGGGCGCCGCTGCCAGGGCTGGGCGTGCAGCTGTGCCGAAGCGTTCGGAGCGAGAGGTTGTGGGGCAGGCAGGTTTAACGAGTCTGTCGTCTGCTGAGCTGAGAGCGGTATGTGGCGGAGTAAGTGGGGACTGGAGGAGCATCTCGCCTCGGTGAGGCCGAGAGAGCTGGGACGGCTCAGCCTGGAGACGAGAAGGCTCAGGGCGTTCTCCTCAATGCCGACAAGTACCTGAAGGGAGGGTGCAAAGAGGACGGAGCCAGGCGCTTCTCAGTGGTGCTCAGGGGGGTTGTGGATGCTTCACCGTTGGAGATGTTCAAAAGCTGTCTGGACATGGTCCTGGGCGACCAGCTCTGTGTGGCCCTGCTTGAGTAGGGGAGGTTGGACCAGATGGACCCCAGAGGTCCCTGCAAGCCTCAGCCATTCTGTGATTCTGTAATGAATTAATGTGTATGTGTACTTATATACAGTATGTGTGGTAATAACAAAAAAAAAAACTTCCTTGCCTGTTTTTAGTGTCTCTTTGTTCTCTTCTGTTGACTCTACCCTAAGCGGGTGTGAGTCAGCTTAGAAGAAGGATTGTTTCATGAGTATTATCATTTTCTGTTCTTCATAAAATTAATCTGATTTCTGAGGAATTTTAAAATATATATAACGAATTTGACAGAGTAAAAGTATTTTTTAAAATGTTAAAGTAAAACTTTATAAACATCTGTAAAACTTTCATATAAATATTTTGCAGATTGTGATGGTCCTTTTCAAGCAACTCAGCTGTGGAATAGTATTATTCATGCTCTTCACAGTCAGGTGGAAATCAAAAGACGTAGACAACATCTGAAAACATACAAAAACTGTTTCACTGGCTCAAATGCTGTTGATGTGGTACTGAGCCATCTTATGCAAAGCATGTACCTAAGCTGTAATGATATTTCTCGGCTGAAGGGAGTCCGTGTATGCCAAGCGTTGATGGATCACAAGGTTTTTGAGCCAGTTGGAGCAAAGTTTTCCTTATTCAAGAATGAGAAAGACACAGAGTTTGAAGACACAAACGCTAGTCTCTATAAATTTGTAAATAGCGGTCTTACTCCGCTTCTTCCGAGAAAGAATAAAGACAATGAGAGCTTGTCTCCTGAGCAAATCCGCAAACAGAAGACAAAAAGGCATTCCAAGTGAGTTACTCTGAACTGTTCTGATTGTTGTTTTTTTTTTTTAAAGTTAAGGTGGGTTAACTGTAGATGAAGTTATGTCTGTCTAACCCAGATACTGGAGAATTTTGAAAACTACGTGCCAGTTTTGAGAAATGTCAGGCCTAAATCAAAGATACTACCTAATATTTCTTGGTAATGCTAAACTGGTTTGATCTGTCCTTTTTTATTTAGAATAGAGTCTGGCACAGTAGCTTAGGAACTAGGAATCATTTTATTTTGCAATCTATTGTGCTGAAATCTGAGATTTAGTATGAATGAGCTACTTGCTGGAAGCTGTAGAAATGGAACTAATATACAGTATTTGGAATCAATGTCCTTGCCCTTTCCACGAAGCAGATGTGCATGATTGGTTTTCTAGCAGCAGGATAGACCCCAGATATAATGAAGCCATAAAGTCCTGATTTAACAGCGATTTAGGAAGTGACAGGAAGACAAATGTGTCCTGAACGTATTTGTTATACATCTAATGTGGGTTTTTTTCCCCCAAGCAGAACAAAATGTGAAACGCTTTCAAACCCTGTAGCATTAGAAGCAGACAATAAAAAGAGGGTAGAGGAGCTTCTTCGATCAATAAGTGTTCACACATCTTTACCTCCAAAGATCATGGTTAATGAACCAACTCATCTGCTTTCAAAAAGAGGTGAGGATTGAATTTTTCTTTTTAAAACTTGATTGTTCTTCACTGTATCTACTTGGAATGAGTACCTCATCTCTGTTAAACACTGCCCTTCAGAGTCCTAAATTTAACATGTCAGTAATAACAAAATACTTAAATGAGTGCTAAATGGGTAAATGCTCATAGTAAGTAAACTGAAGGAAACAAAGCAGAATTAAGTTTTTTGCAGGATGGTGCTATTCTGTTTATCCAAATACCACTCCAGAAGGAAATAGGTTTTAAGATTAAGTACATCTGTATTATATGATTCCTTTGCTATTCACTTGTGTTTTCTTGTACATATTACTCATTAGAGTAGGTTATTACTAATTCTAATACAATGGGGGAGAGAGATGTTCTCTTTAAATCCTTCTTTGTTAGGATTCCTATTTTGATCCCTTCTTCCCCAACATAGAAACTTCACACTATGCTGTTACCTTGTTTTCTTTGAACATTTAAAACATTCTTGAGTGAATAAAAACAAAGGTTAGTGCTTTGCATAAGACCTTATTTCTGAGGGTGTTTTGTTTGTTTGTTTATGGTATCAGTAATAGAAGATGTCTGGAAACAGCAAACTCTGCTACGACTGCTGCAGTTAATTGATGTTCCTCTTCTAGAAGGTATCTTGGTGTCTTCAGTGAACAGAAAAACAGACTCGTTTGGCAAAGAAGATGACCTGATTATCTCAAATACTTTCCTGGAAAGAGAGGTTACATGTAGCTTAAACTTGCCTGAGTAAGTTATACATCTATAAAATGGTTTTGTTAGTGAAATAAAGCGTTTCCTGTTAGTGAACAAATTAAACTTGTTATAGTTCTATCCTTGTAGACAGGGGTGGCACTAGTATATTTTTCTTTGACCTCTTTTCAGAAGTGGTAAGGGAATTCACCAAAACTATGTTTACAACTGGACATTTGAGGATTTTAAGTATACATTAAAATTTTAACCTCAAGTGTTGGAAACACTCCTAGTTTCTAGACCAGACGTTTCTCCTTTAGGTCTCTATAGCAGATATTAGAAATTGAAAAAAAATTATTCTGAGGCTTTTTGTTTGTTTGTCACAGTTCCTGCTGGTGGCGCTGTGAAAATATAGTCAATAAGGCATCTATTAGCAACAGAAAAGGAGAAGCTAAGCTGTAGCACTGAAGAATGCTTATATCATGAGAATATAAAAGTGAAAGTATCTGCAAGTCATTAGTGCGCTTTTCCTTATATGTTCTCTTATTTTTATAGTGTTCCTGTTGATTGCACTTGGGCTTATGACTATCTTGACATATTCATTGAAAGTACATGCTAAGGCATGTCTCCTTATGTGTATATGTCTTAGTAATGCTTATTTCTGTCAAATCAATACAATTTTTATCTGTTTGTGAAACTGAGGTCAATGTGTCTACCTAAAGAGACTCTTTCGTACCATTTTTATATATTCTTGCTTTAGGGAGAAAATATTAATATTTTTACATGTTTAGAGTTTTTCATAAGCTAATAAAACTCTTGGTTCTAAACTAGGTTTATTGCTCGATCGCATCTTAACTCCATGGATTTTTTTTCTCCCAGAACGGCTTAATGAAAACTGTTTCTTTTGAGCTTTGTACTTCTGCTGTACTTGATTCTTGGGGGATTGATGGGTTTATGTCTCTTAAAATCTCTCGTATGTGGTTTTTACTCTGTATTATTCTGTACTAAGTGTCTCTAACATTTGGTTTTTTGCTAATAGATGAGCGTAAAGAAAATTCTTGCTTTATCACTTTATTCTTTTGAGGGTTGGACTAGATGACCTTTAAAGGTCCCTTCCAACACAAACTATTCTATGATTCTGTAATTACTGAAGTGGGGGGCTGGAGTAGCATCTTCGTAGACAGTATATTATTTAGGTCTGGCTGATAGCATGCCTGAGAAACGGAATATTCCAGATATGAAGAATAACCACCAGTATTACAAGTCGTTGAAGGATTCATTGCTCAAAATATGAAGGGAGAAGCATAATTTGTATCTCAAATTTTCTGTCTTCCATTTTCAAATAGTGTAGTGTTATGCTGGAAATAATCAAATAACTGTTCTCCACGTAGGTACTTAAAAACTGTAATCAAATCCTGCTTTATCCACCCTCTTTTGTAAAGCTAGCTAGACTGCTTTCTGAATGTTTAACTTAAGATGTTTTCCAGTTTATTTTATCTTTAGAATGTTTCTGTTATGGGTGTTAAAATTAGAGGCAGTATGATTGCAGTACTCGTGGGATCATAAGTAAAAGGAGGTCATAATTCCATTTCTACTTTACTGTATTCTTCCATTTATGTGTCCAAGAGTTATACAATCCTTGTCAGCCACAGCAGTTCTAGCAAAAGTTCATGTTTATCTAGCTGTCCAGCAGCAAGTTAAAAATCTTTGTTTCTGCTCTCCATGATGAAAATAAGATTCCATGGATCTTAAATAACATTGCATCTTCTCACAAGTTAGTGATTCAGTTCAAATCATTTTATATCCAGAGAGTCAGATAAAAGTAATTCTCCCTCTACCACCTACATTTCTATGATTTTAGATTTCTTCTGTACAAGATGGCTGAGTTAGTGACTTCTTCCTCTGACCTTCCAGCCTGTTTGAACAATGAGTTGCCTGCCTGAATTTTAGGTTCTCCTTACACTTTCTCTCCTTAATTAAGTCATACAGGCAACAAATGCTGAAGAAAATTTATGCCTTTATAATACATAATATATATGGTCATATAAGAAACCAATTCCACAGTCTTCTGGGATTTAAACTATTTTTATTTTTCTCCGTTGTCAAAGTAATTGTCTTGTATTTCTTCTCTAAAGATCCAGTCCCTTGCTTTTTCACTCTGGTTAGCTCTGATGGGTTTTCATTGTGTGTGTTTGGAGTCATAGTGGGGTGGTGTTTGGTTTTAAATACTAGCTGAACCAGGCACGTAGCCTAGAGTCAGTGGCAGTTTGGCATGATTGCAGCTTCTTTTGATCTGGGCATACACCTCTGGTGTATTGCCTGTAGCATAGGAAAACCATGAAGATTGCTTATTTTGAGCAGATCCTTGAACTACTATAGTGAAATAAATTACGTAAACTGCTTAATAAGCAACAAGTTTAATGCTATGGTTCAAATACGTGACTATGCCTGCATGATTATTTCTATCTAACTTTCTTTAAAGGATTAAATAAGAATAGGCAGAGCATTTTAAAGTAAGCACTAAAACTAACTTTTCCTTCTACAGGCTTGACAAATGGCTCTATGCTGCAATTGAATGCTTGGAGTATTTCCCAGACCAGTTCATAGTGATGGTTAGTCAGCAGTTGCATCAAAGCACTAACAAACCGAACAGTTTGAATGCATACAAGAAGATTCTTTTTGACATCATAATAAAGTATTATAGTCAAAAGAAGGACTCCCTTCTTGCCACTCAGGATCTCGATATTCATTCAGGAATTATAGAACTTGTAGGTAAGAGCAACCTGGACCAAAAAATACAAGTGAAAGCTGTATAAAGACGTAACTTATTAAGCATTAATTGACTGAATCATAACACCATTTGCAATGCTACTGCAGATGCACTTTATAGGTTAGAAGGGAATGCTTGCGGTCACTAGGCAGAACCTCTGCTCAAGGCAAGGACAAATTGCAAAGTTAGATCAAGTTACTTAGGGCCTGGTCCCTCTGAGTTTTAAAAATCTGCAAGGATAAATATTCACCAACCTCTGTCGGTAACCTGTTTCAGTATATAACTACTCTCACTGTGAAAATTTCTTACTGCTAGTCAAAATTTCCCTTATTGCTACTTGTGACTAATGATACAGAAGTAAAATCATTGTTTTCTTGTTAACAAGAATTAGGTTTTTTAAGTTCTGGACTTAGGGCTTTTTAAAGTAATAGTAGTTATTTAAAATCTTAAAAAAAACCCTCCCTACATATGCTCACAAGTAAAACAGAAAGGTTTAATTCAAATACAAGTTTAAGACTAATCCTACCCTAGGTAAGCCCTGTTACTTCTTCAGTTCTGTAGGGTTTATGGAGTAGGGTTTAAACTTTATCAAAAGTTTAAGTTTTTAGAGAACTGTGACAAGCTTACTGTCATAGAAACACAGTTGGCCTGTGTAAAAATGGGATTAGAATGGTGGATCCTGTGGCCAAATCCTCATGAAAATACAAAAGGCAATATTTTTATCAGCAGTATTTTGCTAAGGGGAAAAAAAATATAAAAGAAGTAATGAAAGGGAAACTATTGCAAAATTACGTAACCCATCCACAAAAAAAGAATGCTAATTTGAAATAACTGACTTAGCTACTGGTAACTCCTGCTAAATGTTCACTTAAATTAAAGATGTCATAGTACATACTTATATAAACCGATATTATAGAATATTACTAAATTTGAGAATCAAAACAGCCGAATCTGTAGGCAAGAGAAAAGACAGGGTCATAATTCTGCTGAATTACTCTAATGCTTTAGTTGCCTGTAGGTCTTTTCCGAATTTAGTACCTGCTTGATCTAAACTACATGAATGTCCAGGGCTATTCTGCTTGCTTATTCTTGCTTTCATTTTGTCATCTTTCTGACTTAAGTAAGACTATCTCACAACCAGTTTCTAATGCTTTATTTCTTTTAGACGAAGTGGTAGCCGTGATTTTATTATTAGGAAATGATTCTCTGTTTGAATATATTAGTCTGTGTTCTTGGGTTCTCAGCATTGTTCTCATTCATACTAGATCACTGTTGGGAGACTGTGCGTAACTATTTTACAACCATTTTTCCCTGTCAGTGCTATGGAATAGATTATGGTTGTCAGTGCCTAACAACTTGGATTCTAATAGTAATTTTCAGGTAGAATCCAGTGCAGTTAACCTTACTTTGATAAAGTGCTGTTGTTCTGACTTTTGTGCAAGAGGTAGCTCAAACTATCTATGAACAACTACATATTTAAAATACTTTGATAATTAATTTGGAAAGTGCTGAAGTGAGCTAAAGTACAACTTCATTTTGTTATTAGTGTATATACAGTTATAACTCTATTCTCCTCAGTTCTTAAACAGTTTCATTTAAAATGGCTGATAATACAGATCTGTTGTGAAGGCAAGCATGTTGCTGTGCTTGTTGCCTTTAAAATAAATAGATCTAGGGTACTTAGGATACAAATGAATGCAGCTGGTCAAACTGGTCCATGTGGTTTACTGAACCTTTTTACACTGGAACTTTTTCCTACAGTCTTTTAAGGTAACTCAGTAAAGCTTTAATCACAGATCAGAGAAACTCTTTTAACTTCTCTCTAGAAATGATTTAACTTCAGGTCTTTGTAGCTATGCTTTTACCTGTCTTGACCATGTCCTTTGGCAGTTCTCTTTTCTGTTCTTCTGTCTGCCCTTCTTTTATAAAGGGGTCACTTACTTGCTCTTTTGGTATTCTTTTTAAACAAAGATGGTTTCAAATAGCTTGTGGTACACCCCCAAAAGTCCTGGATTATTCCTTCTAAAATATAACGTCTGTCCCAGTAATAGGACAGAGGCCAGAAAATCACATATAAGTTCTATTCCTGTGTCTGCACTCATCTTGCTCTTGCCTTAAGAAAGTTACTTGACTTTTTGATAGTTTCTAACTTTCAAAGTGAAGATAATTAGAAGTAACATCTAAAGGAGTTCTTCTTGGAGATTATTTCCACCTTATCACATTTCCTTGAGAAACTCATAACCTAAGGACTTGGGGGGGGGGGGGGGCACCAACCAAGTGACAACAACAAACAAACAAAACTGAAAGCAATAGGAAGTTAGAATTGTTCAAATCATTAATTACTTTGAGATTAATCCTGGAATATAATATGAAGATGTGTAGACATAAACAGGGCAAACATCACTTCAGTGTTTGCACATTGTACACAGAACATAGTAATGTCCTGTATGTATTGTCCAAGCACAATCTGTTCCCTGACTAGCTATGGGACTTTAAACTTACATAGTTGAAGGCTCTGAACTTAAGGCTTTAAACTAATCTAGTTGAAATAGTGTACTGAGTCTTGTCAAAAGGTTTTAGAAGTCACGAAGAGAACTTGCTTTGTTTGGAGGGACACGCCCCCAAATGGGAATAATATTGGGGTTTAAATATGTATTCTTGACTCTGAAAATGAACAGTTGCACTGGATACGCTGTTTTACTCCTTTGCAGAAAAGAGAAAAACAGTTCAAGCTCTAGAGGCATCACAACTTTATTTAAAATTATTAGCACCAAATATCCGAGAAGAACTACATAGACTCCTGACATTCATAGCCATTGCATCAGAATCTGAGGGCTACAAATTACAAAAACAAGTAAGTATCTGTTTTGTTTAGTGTGGGAAATAGCTTTACTAGGGGAAAAGTGCTAATTTTTTTTTTTTGTCCAGAGTTAGAAGTATTCTGTTTACTGCCTTCCAGTGTGATTTGTTTTAAAACAAATATCAAGATGTTCTTCCCACTGATAGCATCCTGTTATACTTAGTCTTTGCTAACACATTGCAAGTAAATCTAATGCCAAATCTGGGTTCATTCTTTTCTAGTTTGAGAACAGATCAGTGATCATCAAGACTTGCACAAAGTTCATCTTGCAAAATAAGACATTGTCAAAATCACAGGCAGAACTGCTGACTCAGTTTCTGATGGACAACCACACTGAGCTCTTCAAGGTAGCACTTTCCTTATCTCATTGGCTTTATAATTTTAAATGTTAAATGCCATAAAGTGCCTTTTTGGAGATGACAGCTCTGAGGAGCAGGGTTTAGTGTTCCCTCTGCTACAGTCTGAAGGTACAGTCAAGCAGGGTGAGAAGCTATTCCAGACTATGGAGGACAGCTTTGTGAGAGCTTTGCAATCCTTTATATATAATACCATCTCTCTTTCTTAATGTGAATGACGCAAATAAAATTTTTAAAGTATTAATAAGTTTTTATAGAGGCCTTTTGGCACCTTGTTTCTGATGGCTGCCTACTAAATTTTTAGTCTTGTTAGTGTCTTTCTCCTTTAGAATTTAGCTAACATACTCTGAGTAGTATATAAGATGGCAAGCTCTGGTGCCCCAGCATACATGTGCAGCTTTGACAACTCTAGGAATTACTTTTGGTATTTTGAAATGTTAACTTTTAAATTAAACAAAATGAATAGAACCACAAAATGAAATGGCCTTTCTACTGAACTTGATCAGTTATGTAAATATTCAGTCATATTTTGTAGTCATCTTTATTTACGTTCTGTCATATTATCACACATGTGAAACCTTCCCAGACCCTATATTGACCTTCTGAAGTGCAGAAAGTCATGCAGTTGTGATGCTTCTCTACTGTTTTCCTCAATTATAAAATTCCTCATTAAAACATTAAAGTAGATAGAGATGAACTAATGATCTCAGCTGTTACAAGATAGCTGTAAAATGCCGTAGGCATTTATTGTCCAGTTACAAATTAGCCTTACAGAAACGCTGATTTGGTTTCAGTAAAATATTCTTTTTAATTCCTATACAACACATTCATTTCCACTTCTGACCTCAGCTGAAGACACATGAGAGGTTTTTTTGTTTTTAATTAGACCCAGTTTAGTTTGAGACTCTGAAGGGGTTAGTGTGAGTTTTGTATGTGTTAATATGCAGCCAAAACCAAATTTTGTTGTTGTTATTAAGGGTTCTGACATGAAGGTTAGGGCTTGGATTCATCATTGGAGATGGAGCCAGATCTGAGAAATGAAGTGCCCACTGCTTCACAGCAGTGACAGCAGAGTGGATGGTGGCTCACTCTAACAGCTGCAGTTGAGAGCCTTCAGTATTATACAACCTGAAATCAGTTTAAGGTCTACACTACAGTTTTTGCATCTAGAACATCTTGCTTCCTATTTCTTTGGCTGGAAATATCAGAAATAAGCATATGTATTTTAGGAAAACTGTGTTTTAGTACGATACTGTGAGAGACTTTGAATATGTACCTAAATAAATGTAGGCATAGGTTCTTTGGCAGTTAATTATGTGGTTTTAAATTGGTCATCTGAAAGCTTTAGATTCTCAAAATACAGAAGTATCGCTTTTGTAATTTTTTTCTTTGTTGGGTTGTATTTTCAGACTCCTTTAACTCTTCTGGAACTAACTAGTAAGAGACTTGAGAGTTTGCTAGAAGGACAAGATCCAGATATCAATTCAGGTAGATGATGTGATACACATTTTTTATATAAACCATTTTATACAAATTGGTTTACCATCAGTTGACTACAATTTTGCATGCACTATGTTCTTTTCCTTCATTAGAAGTGAGGCATTAAAGCAATTACTGACTAATTCATTAAATAATTCAATTATCTGGTATAAGCAAAACACTGATCTCTGAATTATTAGAGAACAAGGATTCTCTTAATTATCTAGTTTGAACACGTTACAATTTTTTTTTACCAAATAATTACTACTTCAGAAATTAGTGCAAAATGTGCTTCCTGAAGTGACTTTGGTTTGTGAATTTGATGTGATTGAATACTTAGGAACAGCAGTCTTCTGTTTCTGCCACAAGACACCTAAAAATTCTCACAGAGCTCAGTAGTTTGATGTTCTGATAGATGTCTCGAGTACAGACCTTGACTGTTTAGTGTTTTGAAGAACTCTCTTCTGTTTCTGGGTAAGCACAAAGTTTATTGAGAGGTTAAGACTTGTAGAAGGGTAGTGCAGCCTAAAAGCAAGGCATTTGGCATTTGGTGTGTATGTGGGATTAGTGCTTTCCAGCTCATTTCTTTTGTGAGCTAACATTCCATCTGGCCTTGCTGCCAAAAATATCTTTCAGCACTGTGATTAAAAGGGTTGGCTTAAATAATTTAATTTCTCTCTGACTCTTTACCTTCTTCCTTTTTGACTTCTGTATTGACAGCACATTATGTGCTTAAACATTGAAAAGAAACCATTAGTGAATGGAGTAAGCCTGTAAGTTATTGTGCTGTTTAATACTACATTTAATACAGTAATACAGCAGCTGCCTGAGAAGTAGTTTTGGTACAGTCTTTTACAGTCTTTGGGTTCTGGAATGTGTCCAAATTGCTTCTGGTTCAGTGTTTAGGAGTATTGCATATTGTGTAGCCAAAGAATAGAGAGATGAGCAACAGAGGAAGGAGTTGCCTGTCTGCAGTATTCCTGGAGCCTGTGTGATCTTCATCACACTGAACAGATAATTGGAGTATGAACCCCATACTATATTCTCCGTACTAAGTTTTGGCATTTCAGTCTATAAATGCATATAGATTCCACCTGCTTGTTGAAATAGCTAGTTTGATCTGATTGTAAGCTCTCCAGCATGGCTTTCTCCTGTCTGCCTCATTCTGGTGTCATTTTCCCGTTTTTCGTGGAGGAGACAGGAGGAAATCTTTCCTGGGAGCTACTGAGCATTCTTAGCTGTTAAACTTCTGAAGTGCAGGTGGGAACAGCAGGGAAGACTGGGGGACCCTGGTAATAAAAGGGGTCGGTCTATGGCAGGAAAGTAATCCTTAGGGCTGCTGGAAATATAAGACACTAAAAATACTGAGGGAACTCTGGGGCTGGTTTTAATCTAGTAAACCACTTGAAACCACTGGACTAAAGGATCCACATGAAGTTTTAAGAGTTAATCTTTTTGCCGGAAGTTGAGCTTTCCCTTTTGAAAGAGCTATCTTTTTCTTCATCTGACTCTGCTAAACCATAAAAAGTATTTAACATTTGGTGTTTGACAGACTCATTGTAAAAGGAGGGAAGAACAGGTCCATGTGAAAACTCTGGCACCTCAAGTTATTAATACTCTCTATGTGAAGCCTTAAGAAGATGGTGTTTGTACAGAAGAAATAGTAAGAATTTTTTTCCCCTCTAGGCAATTGACACTTGCTCCCTAACATGTACAGGAGGGAAAAGTGTCCGTAGAAGTAGCTGAATGCCAGTCTTTCCTCAGGCCAGAACTCACCTGCCCAGTGACAGGGCTTGGGTCCTTGCAGGGCAGTACTCTACCGTATAGCTTCACAATCTGTTTATGGCTAGGCTGTGCTTGAGTTGCGTGTATCTTGGGGTCCAGTTCCATGCTCTGCCCTCACCCTGACCCACTGCCTGTTAAATCACCTCTTTCTTTCTGGTGCCCAAACCATGCTGAGCTGTAAAGTCACCCAGAAGTTCCTGAATTGTATTCCTGATTTCAGAGGTGTGGTTTAGAGGCAACTGTTTCGCCAAAGTATTTATTCACTTGAATTATTTACTGGGCCTTGCTACAGATCTGATTCACTCATAGGGAATCACTGGATCGTGACAACTGTAAGGTGCATTATTGTTGTTGTGTAGCATTCTTCATTATGGTTTCTGTTTGCTAGAACTGTATTGGCTCTTTGTCTTGCAGTCCTGTTTGCAGTACAAAATCATCTGTGATCTGCACTTGTAACACTGCTTTTCAATTTTATTTTTGCAATTAATGTTTAGATGTTCATCCATGCCTGGTGGAGGGCTATATGTTTCACATTGTAGAGAATTAAAATCACATCTGAACTGGAATATCAATATACCTATGTTTCTGATCACATTTTTAATCAGGCTCTTACACAATGCATTAAACTTAATCTGAACCTCTGATTTCTTACAAAGGCTTCACCTTCTGTCAGCATGTGACAATTAAAGAATATGAAGATCAAAAACAACAAACAAATGAGTATCTTCTTGCATTGGTTCAGGAGATGGACAATGACCCTACTATTCCTTTGAAGCAGAAGAAGAAATTAATTAAAGAATTCCAAAAATACCATTCTCTCATCTATTGTAGTGGTTGTAAAACTACATGTGAGTTTTGTACTCTAAATGGTTAGACATCAACACAGCCATTTTTTGTTTTTTTTTTAAAAAGTGGAGTGTGCGTATAAAAATTGCTTATGATACAAACCGTTTTCTTATGTCTTTACATCTTCAGTTACAGGAAACTACAACTATCAAAATTACTGTGCTGCTAAAAAGTATTCATTCTAATTATTCTTTTAAGCAAAATGTACTTGATTACCTTTAAGCTAGTAATAATAGCACACTGCCTGTGCTGCTTTGATTTCAGGGCTTCGCACTTTTTCTTCTGTCCCACAGCCCCATGGCTTTCTAGCTGAGCCAAGTCTACATTCAGAGCCATGCTTGGGTTGGTAATCAATAAGGTTTTTAATCTTTTTTAGCTGTAGTTTGTAACCTAACTGTAATCTAATCTTAAACTGTAGCTTATGACTCCCCCCCGCCCCCGCTATCAAAACCTTGCCATGCACCAGTACCATACATTACTGTCCAGTGTAAAATAAATGATTTGTGGAGGAGGAAAAAAGACCAAGTTTCACCTTTCAGAGGTAAATGCCTTAATTACTAGACTGCCGGGCCACATGTATTCTTTTTCTAGCCCTGTGTGGGGTTTTTTTGGTCATTCTCCCAGAAAAGGAGCATGTATAGAAGTAGGTTATTGAGAATTATAAACCTGGAAGTATCTCCTGATTAAATGCTTCTGGTGTTGAGTAGTTGGAGAAGGGGATTTTAGTTTGGGTTTGGTTTTTTTTTTCTCTCTTCAATGCCTTTACTGGGTCTCATGCAAAATACTGAACCTGGTAACAGGGAGGGATGATAACATCGTACTTTATAGGGCAGATGGACTGGGAATTGCTTTGGGAAAAAATGTATTTTTTAAAACAACCTCTTGCATTTTGACTTGATTAGCAGTTGCTTGTGCTAATTTAAAGATGATAATAAAGCATTGCATAAAAAGCAATTAATCAGTCTATCATTTCATAGTGCTTTCATACGGAAGAGGAAGCTGAGCAGGTGTAGAACCAGGCATCAGACGGGAAATGCTTCCAGTGGACAGCAGGAGTTTATAGCTGCCACGTGCTTTGCTTCAGGGGACAAGAAGTCAAGATTGATAAAGTTTTGCAGACAAAGGAAATGAAGAGCTCTTGATAGCCCTATTTTATTCATCTACCCTGACAGGAGGATTTACTAATTTTTAATCTTCTGTTGAAAGAAACCTGATATTTTAAATATAAGAATAAGGAAGGGCCTGCTGACCAGAACAATTTTGGTGAACTACAGATGACTGGTTTTCATTGTTACGCTTTCAGTTACATTCCAAAATTCAGGAAAACTTCATAGGACTTGGGAAAGTTCTTTTATATAGTTTTAACAATGTTTGACACAGAATCATCTGGTATGAAAACTTTGACCTCTCACTCGTTTCTGTTTATGATTTCTAGCATAGAGTTATCAAATTAATTCCCAGTATGAATTTGTATTTGAAGTATAAAAAAAAAAAAGAAAAAAATTTAATCCCAAACTACTTTCCAGTCTAGTCTTATCAAAGATCGCGTGATGCCACCTTCCACCTAAGGAGGCTTACTTCTATTCATAGAGCATTCATGTTTGCTGCTACCAAGGAAAAGGTTCGTTGTTGCTTCTGTGGGAACAACACAGGTATTTCTTTTTTAAGTTCTAGCTAAAATGTGCTGATCATTTTGTGAAGCTGTTACTTACAAAACTAAAGGTTAGATGTGCTGGCAGTCTAAAGTAAAAAAGATCGTATTTAGGAAGAAAGATCCTCTCAGAAAACTTTAATTGTGGCAGCTCATCATCAAGATCTCCTATTCTCTGGAGTGTTGGCTTCTCTTCATAGAATCACAGAATGGTTTGGGCTGGAAGGGACCTTTAAAGGCCATCTAGTCCTACTCCCCCTGCAGTGAGCAGGGACATGTTCAACTTGATCAGGTTGCTCAGAGCCCCGTCCAACCTGACCTTGAATGTTTCTAGGGATGGAGCATCTTTTCTATATTGCACTTATGCTGAGACCTCTGGGTAGCAACAGGAGCAGCTCATGAGAAGCTGGAATGTTGATCAGAACATGGCTCTAACTCCACGTATTTGTCTGAAGTAGAAAAGAAATGGAAGCCAGAGATGAGGATACCTCTCTATCTTAATGCTATCAGTGAGCCCAGGGGCTGGTGGTACACACCTTTGTTTCCCCTGTTCACAGGACTGACCATTCAACGACATCAATTACTATGTCTTGGGTCTCAGATCTTCACAATTTTCAGAAAGTAATAGTATCTAGTTGTGCTTCAGAGTGCCCCTCTCTGGACCTTATCAAGGACCACTGGAGGGGCATGAAATCCAGTGAAGCTTCTGCTTAATCCCTGCCATCAACTGTCCAAATCAGTCAGTGCTCTTTGTTCCAAGCTAGGTAAGTGTACCGAGTTAAGTATACTTACTGGTTTTACGTAGGGGTAGACAAGAGAGGGAATATGAGACTTCGGCTGAGAATAGGATACTCTGTGCAAATCCAAGACCACCGAGTATCACCAGCCCAACTAATAAGGGCAATTACCGCATGGCCCTGAGCTGCATCAGGTCAAGATCTGTGTGGGCACCTTTATGTTTGTTATCCACCCTCTGCCTGTGTCCTGGCAACCAAGTAAGCCAGGTGGGGCACCCCCTACTAGCGTAGCCCTCTGAGGCTTTTATCTGGCTACCACCCTTTACCATTGCTCTTTCCCCTCCTGCATGCAATGGTACGGTAACAGAGCTTCTGATGCCACCTCTGCTCTGCAAATGGAAATAAAAGGTACAGGCTGGGGCACTTGTGTTTTTCTGGAATGCACAGATAGGACACAGATGGGATTACCCAGGACACAGCTGCAATCTTGGTTCACCTCAGACACCAGCCTGGCAGAGATTTCAGAAAGGGGAGCGTCAAGAGGCATAATTATTTGCTCAGCCATTGTTTCAAACAAAAAACAAACAACAAACCTCACACCCCACTAACCCCAAGCCCCTTTTTAAAAAGGAATTGTTCAAATTACTCTTTTCTTAAAGCCAAAGTATACTTTCAGTAGCAGTCGTCACATTTCAAGTATATTCCTCTCATGGCTATTCACTAAAATAACCGAAAAAAACTCATGTATTCCTTTTCAGGATAGGCAATCTCAAAGAGACCTTTTGAGATGTGTTTAATGTCCATTCAATTGCATGCACCACTTAGAATAATACTAATTGTGAGGGAAAAAAAAAATCTTGGTTTTTTTCCTCACTATGTATTTTTACTCACAGCAGTACAAGCACTCAATATTTTTATTGCCTCATACATTGAGGTCTTTGCAATAAGAATACAATGAAGCTATCAGTAAAAGACGAGAACATAATGAAATTATAATGAATGTATTTCATAGTATTAGGCTTGTAAAACTTTATTTTTAAACTCTGAAAATTAATTTTTCCCACTTAAGTACAGGAGAGCTAAAACACAATCCTAACTGACAGAAAACAGGTTGTAGTTCAGAGTTCCATTCTGAGTAAAACAATGGGATAACAATGTATCCAAGTACACTACCTATATATCAAATTTCTCTTCACAGATATTGTGTCCGTGTTCTTCATAATCTTCTCTAGTTACTACCATGTCTTCAAAATCATCATTTTCAGAAATGAGCTTCCCACCTTCCCAAGAATAAGTAATAGGGCTGAAAAATGAACAAAGTTATTGTTACTCATCTGTAAGTTCATTTAAAGTAGAAGCATGCAGTGATGATTGCCAAGACTTCTATTTAGAAAATTTTACACCTATTTAGAAATATATCTTCGATTGCTAAATCAAACTATCCAGCTCCAGACAAGTTATGAGACAAAGTTTCAACTTTTAGCAGTGCTAACTGACTTTGCTTTTTATAAGCAAGTGCATCTTCGGAGGCAGGTGTGAAAAGGGCAGGAAGTGGAGATGTCTTTGTATTTACTATGCGCAGGTAATTATTCTTCAGTAATATTTAAAAATACTCTATAATGCTTTAAAAAAAGTAAAGACTTTTTCTGTACTTTCAAGATGTACTTGTTTTGTCTTAACTGTATACTGTCTCTACAAAGATGTTATCGCTTCCAAATCCCTGAAGTGGCTACATTAATAATAACATGTCAGCATTCAGATGATGAAAATTCTTCTAAGTAAAAAGACTAAACTCTAATCTTGCATACTTATGTATCCATTTAATGACAATACAGTCTTATTTATCTGTTTACAATAAAAAGACTGGTCCTGAAAACACATCTGCTTAACTTTATTAGCCAAAGTACAGGACAGGCAGGGGGTCTCTAATGTATTTGGTTTGTCTGAAAATGCACCGATTTTCATTGCAAAATGAAAAAAATGAAAAATGCAAAATGCATTCTTATAAAATGCTGGTTCAAGTAATATGTGTTCAAAAAACGTGCGGACGTGGCACTTCGGGACATGGTTTACTGGGCCTGGAGGGTGTTGGGTTGATGGTTGAACTTGATGATCTTAGAGGTCTTTTCCAACCTTAATGTTTCTATGAATATTTAAATTAACCTCTTTACTCAATCTACCTTTTTAATCAGCAAAAGAAACCCGACTTCATAGTTTGTTCTGCTTGAAGGACAAAGCTTGTTCTGTACAGTTCAGAACTTACTTTTCAGGCAGAACAACGGAAACATCATAATCAGTTGGAGTAAGACATCGAACTTCAGAATAAACCCGATCTCTGAAGCCTGGAAAAAGGGTGTTTCCTCCAGTGAGAACTATGTTCTTGAAGAAATGAGGCTGCATTTCTGTAAAATAATTAAGTAAATCTGTCATTAGAGACTAAATATATATTTAAAGTTTCTTTCACAACTTTGTTGTGAATTGGAACAGAAGAAATACGCACAGAAGAATGTTGTGATCATCTAATGATCTCATCAGTTAAAATGTTTTCTTGAGAAATACAACAAAGTAATCAATCACGCTCTGTTCTTTGTGATTTTTAGAATTTGGCTTTGATAACTAATGTTTTCTTACATTGTCTAT